CCTCTCCGTCCCGGCCGCAGGTAATGATGTCCCCGGACGCTCGTGCTGGCGGCCTGCGGGGAGGTGAACACGCGGTAAATGCTCTATGGGGGGGTCCTCGGGCCGGAGAGGAGCTCAGAGAACTGCTGGGAAGGGGCGGCGGGGGCGGCAAGGTCAGCACCTCTGCCGTGCAGGACCTGTAGACAGTCGGCCTTGGTGACCGGTGCGGTTGCGGAGGGCTCGGAGCTGGAGCCTGTGGACCGACAGGTGTTAGGGTTCTTCTCCGGGCCAGGCCTGCGGGGGCTTCTTCCCGCATCCTGGCTCCAGGTGTGTTCGGAAGGAATTGTCTCCTTTAGAAGCACGTAAGGGCTTCAGATCACACCAGCTTCTTCTTCTTTTTCCCAGTCCAAGCGGCTGGTCTCCCCCGCCGTCCATGAAAAGCTAGAATAGGCCGAAATTAATATGCAAAGCAGGTGAATGGCTCGCCCTTGTTTACAAATCTAAAGATAGGAAGGAAGGAGACCAAGGTAAAGTCTGTATGGTTTAGGGGAGGTGGGGGTTGTGGTGTGGTTTTTGTGTTGTTTTTGTTGCTATTAGTCCTCACCGGAGGATAATTGTTTCATTGATTTTTAGAGAATGGAAGGGAGGGTGGGGAGAGAGAGAAACATCGACGTGAGGGAGACACATTGATTGGTTGCCTTCCACGCGTGCCAGCCAGGCATGGGATCAAACCTGTAACCCAGGTACATGCCTTTGACCGGAATCGAACCCCTGACCCTTCGGTGCGCTCCAACCACTGAGCGCACTGGCCAGGGTGAAGTCTGTATGTTACCTTCTGTGCACACTGGATAGTCTATTTCTGTTTGTGTGTGTGTATAGGAGAGAGCACCCGGAATACTTGATCTTGTGGTCTATTCTTGTGTTTTAGGGTCTCTTAACCATCCCTGCAAAGTAGTAGGCTCAGAATTTGTAACTAAGGCTGATAACTCTACCTTGACTCTGTTGTGCCCCTGGCTGCAGCAGCCCTACACATAATGTCCTTGCGGCTCTAGCATGAGACTTCAAGCAGTTGGCTCATCACTAGAGAAATAAAGGATATTGCCAGATTGACTGTCCTGCAATGGCAGCCCCAAGCAAGAGGATGACCAGTTCTTCACGCTCCCAAGTCTTTCTAATGTGGAAGCCAGACAAGGCTCAGAGTGGACCCAACAACGCAGAAAAGGAAACCCTTGCTTCAAGACTTCTGCGTGACACTGAGACCTGTCGACAGAATTTTAGGAATTTTCCATACCCAGACTTGGCTGGTCCTCGAAAAGCATTGAATCAACTCCGAGAGCTCTGCCTGAAGTGGCTGAGACCCGAGATTCACTCAAAGGAACAAATCCTGGACCTGCTGGTGCTGGAGCAATTCCTGACCATCCTGCCAGGGGAGGTTAGGACTTGGGTGAAGTCCCAGTACCCGGAGAGCAGCGAGCAAGTAGTGACTCTGGTGGAGGATTTGACTCAGATTCTAGAAGATGAAGGTGAGAATTATAGAGCATAGAGGGGAGGAGTCTGGGTGGTTAGAGAAGACAACAAGCATATCATAGAGCAGCCTGTTAAAGAAATGGGGAGAAGGAAGGTCAGTGAGGGAGTGAGAACAGGCTTTAACATGATCCTCATCCTGCATGCTATTCCCCTTCAGATTTCTTAGAACCACAGACACATTCTCTAAACCCAGAGGAGATGTGTCATAAAACAGTGATCAGACACAACCAGATTTCCCCCTTGTGAGCCCTCAGGAAGTTTACCTGCAGAGGTTTGAACCATTCTGCCAATAAATCATTTGCTTTGTGAACTGGGTTTTACAGTAACACTTCCAAATAGATAGAAAAGGGTTCGGATAACATGTGTTTATTAAGTGAAGATACAACTCACAAAATTGACATCCCAGAGGATTTAGTAGAAAATGGTGAATTTGGTATATATACTTAAGAGTGCCAGAGTAGACTTGTTCTTAAAGCCTGCACTGATGTCTTAGGACAAGTCCTTGCTTCTTCCTGCTGATTTTTTTAAGTAGGGGTCCTGTGTTTGGTTTCCTTCTGACTTCTCACCTTAAGGAAATATAGGCATCTATAAAAAAAAAAAATAGAGAGAGAGAAAGAAAAAAATGCAGGCATCTATTTGGCAATTCAAATAGGACTGATCTCCAGCATGGTCTCTTTCTCTTCCCTAGCTGCTCCTCCGAACTCTGCCTTTTCCCAAGAGATCCCAGAGGAAGATCCCAAAGGAAGACATGCCTTCCAGGCTGGGTGGCTAAATGACTTGGTGACCAAAGTGAGTTTTAGTGTCTTCTGTAATTTTAAAAAGTCTTCATAGTGTGTGATGACATTTTCTTTCCTGTCCTTCTAACTTCTGTGACCCCAAAAATCCTATCAAGAACTAAGCCTCAGTTTTTCTCTTTCAGTCACGTTGGCCTATTAAGGTGGATGAATGCCCTGTGTAGGAAATGGGAATGCCTTGGCTCGCTTATGTACTTTAAGGCAGTGATATGGCACTGAGGTTAAGGGATTGACCTGCACAGCCAAATGGATCTAGGTTTGGTTCCTGGTTCTACCATTGAACCTGTAATTTGGTGAAAGATACTTAACCACCCAGCCTGAGTTATTCGACTCTAATACTGAGTTATTCGACTCTAATAGAATATTCCTCTATAAGGATTAAATATTATGAGACTTGTTACCCTGTATTGTAGTAAGTAATCAATAAGAGCACAGTAGGGTAAACAATAGTTACTAATATTATTTTTCCTCATGAACAAGTGATTAAAGGCAGTGTATTATATGGAGTTACTTTTGATCATTAGTCTATTTTATTTTAAGGAAGAGCAACTCAGGCCATTTTAAGAGAAAGATTTACTGTAAAAACAGATGGTCTGAAATTGGTAACCATTATAAAATTATTTATAGATAATATGAATGTTTACCTGAAAAATCTAAGAAAATCAAGGGAAAAACTGGTAGAAACAATAATAAAATTTGAATAAAGTGACAGATTAATCATTTTATACATAAAAATCAGATAGATGATAAAATGAAATAAAATATTTCATTCACAATATTCCCCCCCCCTTCAAATTTAAAATAGGTAGAACTCAGCAGAGTATACATTTTGCAATATCTTCATGTTCTGTATCATTCTATAGGATGTGAAAGAAGCCGTGAATATTGTAAAAAAAAAAAAGTCAGTTCTCCCTAACTTATAAACTTAATATGATTTCAAAATCCCAATATAAGTTTTAAAGAAACTTAGTTTATTTGAAAACCATGTAAGCGTACTCAAGAATTTTTTTTGCCCTAACCGGTTTGGCTCAGTGGATAGAGCGTCAGCCTGTGCACTCAAGGTCCCAGGTTCAATTCCGGTCAAGGGCATGTACCTTGGTTGTGGACACATACCCAGTAGGGAGTGTGCAGGAGGCAGCTGATCGATGTTTCTCTCTCATCGATGTTTCTAACTCTCTATCCCTCTCCCTTCCTCTCTGTAAAAAATCAATAAAAAATAGATTTTAAAAAAAAGAATTTTTTTTAATAAAGGAAGAAAACCAAAGAGAGATGTGAAATGTATCTAAAAATACAGCAGTTAAACAGTGCGGTGAAGTAAGGAAGGGCTCTGCATCTCATCATGGAGCACACAGAATATCAAAGTTTCAAATTAACACATTGAACTTACTCTTAAGGCAGAGCTTGAAGAGCAAAACCATTCAATTCTGTGTCATCGATGTTTAAAACTCTTCTTTAAGGTGGAGCCACCAATGTATGCACTAGTGGCAACTGAAAACAATAATTCCACTCTATTTTCAAACTCCCCTTAAAGCCATTCAGGTATGCTTATCCATATATTGGGTGAAAATTTTGACTAGAAAACTTTTATGGCCCTACTAAAACTCAAGATTCTATGATTCTCTCACCACACACCTACCTGGTATTATCACTATCACTTTCCTACTAGTTCCTGGACCAAGTTAAATTGTATTTGATGTTCTAGGAATCAATGACATTCAGAGATGTGGCTGTGGATATCACCCAGGAGGACTGGGAGCTAATGCGTCCTGTACAGAAGGAATTGTACAAGACTGTCACATTACAGAACTATTGGAACATGGTTTCTCTAGGTAAGCATCATCTACACCCACCCCGCCCCTGCATAGCCACCAGAGTATCTTTTCCCTCCATTATTAAAAACGGGTTGGACCTGTAAAGTACTTTGCTAAGAATGGAGGCCTAGAGATCAGTTGTGCTCATCCCATTTGGGCACAGAAGAGGCTATGTTAGTCCCTTATCCCAAGGGAAAGGTTTCTGAGAGAAGATCATTGAAAACTGATGGGCATTGTCACGGGGCTGCCACCCAATACTGTGCCTTGCTCACTCCCTACTTCCCCCATGATCTCTAAGCACATATCCTTCAGGGGCCAGCTCTGAAAAGGACAAGGACCTAATTTATTAGGTCACATCCATGAACTGTTGTTTTCCTGTAGGGGACTATCCACTTGGAGAAGAAATCAGGTAATAAAATTTGAACAAATGTTTATACCCAGGATAAAACTCATTATATTCCCCTTGAACAGGACTTACAGTGTACAGACCAACTGTGATTCCTATATTGGAAGAACCATGGATGGTGATGAAGGAAGTCTTAGAAGGCCCTACTCCAGGTGAGAGAATCAGTGGTGGATGAGAATCTCTGCACTTGGTCTATAGTACCCTGATTGTGGTGAGAGAGATTTTTAAATATGGCCACGTCACTTTCCACAAAGACATCCAGTCTCAACACTTTCTTGCAGAGACCATCTTCAGGAAAAGATTTTCCAGACATCATATATCCCCTTAATGTCTCATGGATCCTTCCCCATGACCCCGAGTCCCGTCCCCTAGCCTTTGTCTGAGGCTTTCATTGTGCCATCATTCCCTCCCTCTCACTTAAGCATGCATGAATGTCTTCTGAAATCTTAAGTTTCAAACCTTCTATTTGAGTTTCTTTTATTTTATTTACTGACAAAACTTTGTAGCCCCCTGCCTCTACTTTCCTAACTCATTCCTTTATTTTTTATTTTCTTTTTTTTTAATTAAATCTTTATTGTTCAGATTATTACATTTGTTCCTCTTTTTTCCCCCCATAACTCCCCTCCTCCCAGTTCCCACCCCACCCTCCGCCCTCACTCCCCACCCACTGTCCTCATCCATAGGTGCATGATTTTTGTC